CTAGTGTATCCTAGATTTTGATTTAGCTCATGAATATGAAAGTATTATTAGATTTCAGTAATTTAAATTATATTTATAGTTTCTTTACAAGTTAATTATATTGTTAACAAAAGTCTATATGTCAAGCTCTATGATTCTAACCCCAACAATAATCTTGAAAAGTTGGCATAACTGTACATTGAAATTCCTACTGAATAACGAAGCATTGTCACAAAATTTTATAATGTATTTGTGCATGATTGATACACTGAAGAAACCAGTAAATGCAGGCTGATCATAGAAGGGTGTGCACATTGGGAAGCAAAAAACACTGAATAGAAGTAGATTTTTCATTTTTCCCATTTTATTATAAATTATAATTGTCATTACTCAATTCATATGATTAACATAGTTTTCTCATTTCATCTAGCTGTTTAAAAAAATTAAAATAAAATAAACCACAACTTGAGTTATTGCTAGCAGAAATTTTGAATCAGTACAAATTAGAAAATTTTAAAAAAAAAATAGCAAAAATTCAATTAATAGCTTAATTTGTTGAATTTCAAAATTGTCATGTGTATGTATTTGTATGATGTTGTAAAGGGAACATGTGGGCATTGATGCAACATGTAATGGCTGGACTAATGGAACACATCATGCACGGACATATATCAGTTCATATATATATGCATATATTATATAATTATAAAATGGGTTGACACAAACTATACTATTAGCAGTTTTAAATCAGGAATTATTTAAATAGGCAATTTTGAAAATTAGTTTATGAACTTTGAAGGAGTTAAAAGTGTTCAAAAATAAGAATTTCCAGTTGCAAATTATAAAAAATAAATAAATAAATACTTTGGATAAAAAAAAAATATATGTACAACAAAGTGAGAATCTTTATGAAATTTGTCCTTTTTCTTCTCTTTTTTTTTTTTCAAATTTTTGTCCTTTATTCAATTTTTTCATTCTTTTTTTTTCTTTCCATAATTTTTCAGTTTAAACTTTGGAAATTCTGAAAGGCACAACTATATAATAACATAAAATAAATTGAATAATGTGTGGCACAGACCATGCTTTACCTGCAAAACTGAATGATATTCCCTGTTTTGGATGATTCTCATCTGTATCAGCTAAAGCTGCCTCTCTGTATAGATGATAATTCATAAATGTGGTCCACCTTACAATGTCAATAAATTAAATCATTTTGGACTTGAAAGATAAATAAATTCTCCCAAAGCAATCTTCACATTTAAGAATTTATGATGATCAATTTAATTTCAGCTATTTTCATTTTTACTTTTAATGCAATAGTGGGACAATCGTATTTATACTTGATCCTAGTGGTTATGATTTTATGACTGCGAATATAATAATTTCAGATGAATTAAAAAAGTGATGCTAGTTTGAAGATTATGGGACCAATTATGCAACAATTTGGACAAAAGATATTCAAATTTAAAAGAAACCAAAAAAAAAAAATAATAATAAATTGGACCTGTCCATGTCCTATTTACTAAAAAAATTACCGGTCCATGTCGGGACCAAATTTGAGACCGGGTCTACATTTGTGGTTTTCTAGTCTTCTTTCTGGTACTACAATAAATTTCCTAAAGTAGTTTATGAAAATTGTACATCTCAACACGTGAATGGTAAATAAATATTATAGTCTCAAACATAATTATATGTACTTGCGCTAAATTCCTGAACTTAATTATCTATGTTAAGCATGTCATTATCATTATCTTTGCATGCCTAAAATGGAAATTAAACTGCTCTTAAATGCTTTATTTGGAGTTTGTAGAGATGTATGGTACACAAGTAATAGTAATATTTTTTTTTTTTTTTCAGATAGCAATAATACATAATTTGTAGATAATGATTTAACTAGTTTGATGCTGGTTTGTGTTTCAGGTGAATTACCAAAAGATATGTTTCTTTTTAAGTAAATAACTATGCCAATTAAAAACTAATAAAAGTCCTAGCATTCTAAAGAAGATACTAACGCTCGTGTTCGTGCAAACAATATGTTAAATAAATATAAAATTTAATAGGCCAGTGTATATTAAATAATTATAAATAAAATAGAATAAGAAATTAAATATTATATTGAACAAGTCCATAGTATACATTCAAAGATAATTTCTTTCTAGTTATTATTACCTTTTTTATATGTGTTACCACATTTAATTTAATTTAATTATTTTCTCAATTTTATAATATGATACAATGTGACAAAATTAAGGAATTTAAAACATATACATAATAATATTTAATCAATTATTTCCACAAATAAGAGTATTCTCCTTATATATATATAATTCTCGAACACGTTAAGTCTAAGTGGCAGGCTCGCATATTTCGTTATTCTATGCGGGAAAAAATCATGCTTCGGGATAAATTAATATTTTTTCTTAAAAAATAATTACATTTGGATTACATTAAATGTCTACTATCCACATTAAATCCGTGATCGACATATTTCTTATTTTCTTCCATAATAAGTTACCATAAATTATTTTATATTTTCTATTCTTACAGTACCATATACTACATTTTCTTTTCTTTTTTAATTCATACATCAATTTCTATAAATATGCCCTCTTCTTTTTTTAAAAAAATAATATAATTGTTTCTTTTGTATACTATTTTTTCATATATATTAAATTAATTATCTTTTAATTTTTTTTAATTCAACATCCATATTACATACATAAAATAAAAATAGTGATATGTGTTCTTATAAATAAAATTTGAACTTATTTATCAAAGCAAATTATAAATTATCAAATAAAACTATATATTATCTTATAAAGTATTAAAAATTTATTTGTATTAACATACTATAAAATTGTTATTTGAATTTGAAAAAAAATATATATAAACTAATTATGAACATAAATCCAATATAAAAAAATTACTCTTTGAATTTGTTTATAAAATTAGTTAAAGATTAAGAGAGATTCGACATTATAACGACATTGAAAAACAATCTAAATGACTATTATAATTAAAATAATTAAAAAGTTATTATATCTCAAGAAGTTCAAAACATTACACTCATGCACGTTAAATTTCAACTTATTGAGTAATGTAAAGTTGAAAATATTTAAAAATAATAATAAATAAGGGAAGAAAACTATATAAATAAAAAATATATACTATTTCAAACTGTCAAAAAATTTGCATTAATTCAAAATTAAATTATTGAGTTGTATAAAAAAAATATATCATAAATAAATAAATAATATTTCATAATAAATATTTTATAGAATTTGAGATGATATTACAAGTTCTTTTACTTTCAAATTAGTTATTTATAAATTTTTACTTCACAATATTTATATATGTATGTGTATATTTTGTTGCACAATTAACTTTTTTTTTCAAACACCCATGTAATTTACATGTGTTGTACTAGTTAAATAAATAAATAAAAAAGAAACTTAATAAAAACTATCAAATCATATACTTAAAATAAAAATATAAATATTTTAACATCTTATATTTAAAAAAAAAAAAGCAATTGGCTTTTTCAACCCATGTCATACAGTAGGCCGAGAGTCTAGCCATTGATAATTATTTTCAACATTAACATTTTCCTGCTACCTTATGTTCATGAAATACTTGCAATATAATGTACTCAGATTATCTAGTGAAAAGTTGTATAAACTTTCTTCCAGAACTTGATCAATTGCATGATAATTATTTAACAAATCATTATAGCATACAAAGATCGGTCTTCAATCGGGGTTCTTTTATTGCTCGGTTCTAGATTGGAGCTCCTTAGCTCGACTTAGAGGCAATAGATCGGGTAGGTCGAGGTAGGTCCCGAGAGCTAAAGGTCGAGTTATATATCTACTTGGGCCTAGGCAACCCCCGAGTCCTCGAATAGCGAGCTGGTACAAGATCAACATATGTTACTCTATAGGACGACCTCTCACCAGAAAGGGCGACCTAATAAACTGGTAGAGTTGTTAACATCTAATGAAGGTATGATTGTGAGGATCTTAAATATGAAATGAGATGTATCACAAGAAGGTATGTGTGTTCTTATGGATAAGATAATTGTTCTCGTATAAAAGTATAAGTATGATTATCATTATGTTAAGTTTTACTCATTATCATACATACCTTATCCACAAGAGAGGGGTTGACTTGATCGTCGGAGGTTTTACGTTGAGAATCTTTCCGACATTTTTTTAAGGTACTCAGACGAGAATGTCAACCAAGATTGAGAGATTCAAAGAGAACTGAATACTCAAACCGAAGTTATTTGGTAGGTCTCTATTAGAGATGTTAAACGGTCTTTAATCCGACGGGCCGGCCCGTTTAGCCCGGAAAAAAACAGGGTTAGGGCCTTTTATTGGCAGTCCGTTTAAATCCGAGTTTTTTAGGCCCGGACCGTTTAGCCCGAAGCCCGTTAGGGCTAGCCCGTTTAACTTGGTTGAGTGGTGTACTGGTGTATATGTTTTTAGAAAGGTGAAGAATATGTCTCATGATTCCTTGTATATTATAAATTTGATATTCTACTTCACATGTAATTATTAGTTATAATGTATTATTTTTTTGATAGATAATTATTAACAAATTTTATTCTATTTCACAGCAAAATATTTAAGCCAATCAGAACGGTTAATAAAAACAAATGAGACAAAGACCTAACACATAGAATATAGAGATAGAATATAAATTCAGTAGTATGCTCAAATTCCCGAAGCGTACCAAATAACTAGTCAAATGATAGTTATAAGTAATAGTTCGAATATTTTTTTTCTCTATTGAGAAACAATAGGTTAATTAAGAGTTTGTAATGTGTGTTCATATATGAAGTGTCGTTGTATATATATATATATATATATAGTGGTAAATATTAAATATCCGTTGAAAAAAACCGTTAACTAGGTGTTGTAATTTTTTTTTAATTATTATTATTATTATAGCTCGTATAGCCCGTTTAGCCAGAAGCCCGCTAGGTTTAAGGATAAGTCCTTTTATTGGTAGCCCGTTTAAATCCGGACTTTTTAGGCCCGGACCGATTATCCTGAAGCCCACTAAGGCTAGCCCGTTTAACATTCTATCACAATATTAAGAAAAGTTTCGTAAAACCACAATGGTTTGTGATTCAAAACATACAGTCAATTAGTCCAGTTAAGAGGCCCAATAAAGATGTCTTGAAACAACATAGCCCAATAGAGACCCGCAATATGTCCACATAGATGGCTTTGACTTTTGAGTGCACTGGGTATGGTATGGGTTCATATCTATTGGGCTTTTGTTGAAAGGAAGATGTATAATATGTACTCGTAACAATATAAGGTTTCATATATTAATAATAAATCAACAAAAACTCAAAAACTTCCATAAAGATAACCTCTTTATTCCAAATACGATGAGTCTCTAGGAGTAAAGGAGGAAACTACTCAATCCATATATATGTTTGCATGTATATATATGAAATAACAATTTAAAATCATTAGATCAAACAAGTAAAAATTTGTCCATCGCCACACTCGCTCTAAACAAATTTATAATTATTATTCATGGTAGCAAAAGTAAACAATCACACACTCAATCCTTTCAAACGTACATGCATTTCCAATTTCCCAATCACACGTATCACTCAAACAAACCAAACATGGACACAACTTCCTTTCCAACCCAATAATATCGGACTAATATTTCCATTCTCCCTTATTTGTGTTCCCTTCATTTCCATATCCATTTTTCTTATCCTTCACCAAACCCCTCACACTATCCCGCTTTCTATCCGGCCCGTGATTAACAATCATCTCGCTTGATTCTTTTGATCTAAGGCTCCCGGCCCAATCGAACTTAGCCCGACGATTTCTATTGGGCCCAAGGCCCAATCCCTTTCCCTTAGCAATTCGTGCTAGTCCTCCCCCACGACCCTCTTTCTTGATCTCGTTTATTCGAATAGTTGTCCCGCCTTCTAATTTTATGTTGATGTTGACTTCAGTCAACATTTTCTTTCTAGCGTTGTTTTCGTGATCATGAGATGATTGGTTCATTAGTAGTGTCTTTTGCTTTTGGTGTTGGTATAGTCTATGCAGCTTTAAGGCAAGATGGTAAATTTCTTCTTTGATTTCTCCCTCTAGATTGCTTTCCACGTCGATCTCTAGCTCTTCACGTATTTTCAGCTCGTCAACAGACATTTTTTTTTCTTGTAATTAATGGTGGTATATATATATATTAACTGACAAACCGATTGATCTTTTTGGACCTGGAAAAAATAAAAATGTCTCGTTAATTTACTTATTAATATNATAAAATCAGAATTTATAGCTTTTCAAGTAGGGAGAGGAGACAAGGATTTGGACCAATCACCTTTCTTGGCTGTAATGAAAGTGATACTAAGATGAGGGAATTTAACGTGTTGAAAGTCAGTTAATGTCGTTTTTCCTGTTATCTGATTCAAATTTGGCCGCCAACATCTCTGTCATAAAACGGGAATTTAGTGCATAAATTTGGGAGATTCTTTATTATGTATGTGTTGAAAATGGTGGCTTGTGATCTCAACTACTTTACTTGGAAGGAAGGGATTGGAATTGGTTGGGGTTGTCTTTAAGCACAACCCAATAAATTGTATAGAGGAAATCATCACAAGTTTGATGTTAATGTGTGGAGATAGAGAAGAATAGAAAGGCCAAGACATTTAAAGTAAATATTTAGGAGTATGTCTGTATATGTATATATGCACACAAATTTTTATGTGGGTAGTCTAAATGTTAGGCGGATCAATCTTAACATATTCTCTAAACAGAATCGAATACTTATATTATTAAATATCATACTTCTATTCATGTTGTTTTACAGTTAATTTATATGAAGCTGTCTAACTCTATTATTGCACCAAATTAAAGGTTGCTTTATCTCTTCATTTTCAACATTTCCTTCTCTTTTTTTGGGGAATTTATTTATAAGATACTTCAAGTTTTTGTAGTACTATATTATTCATGTATGTGCTAGAGTTCTAGACTGGGTAACAGGTAAAGGTTGCTTCTGAAAGTGGGAACTAGAACTTTTATCAGATTGAATAATTGCAGTCTAACTTGCAGTGGCAAAAGCCCAATTTCCTATAAAGTTTGCACAAAGATTTTTCACTTGTTTTAGTTATAACACAATTTCTATGTAGTGTGGATTTTAGATCTATTTTGAGATTAAATATGTGTAATTACATCTACGTAGTGTGGATTTTAGATCTATTTTGATATTAAATATGTGTAATTACATTAGGTTATTATATTGTTTAATCAAATTAAGTGATCAAATTATTGTATATTGGCTAAGGAACTTAATTTAGACTGTGGAATGATTAAATGTGGACACCCGGTAATATTAGTACTTGGTGACGTAACAAATAATAATATTAAATATAAGGATCTAAATAGCAAATAATTCGAGTCAAAATAATTAATGGGTGGAGTCCCTACAAGTTCTGAAAATATGGGCCCTCCAGATTCTTTATTTAGGGATACGAAAAGAAACCACCACACGCTCTTCATGCAGTTTCTCTTACGTCATAGGAGAAGAGACTCTGGTTCACAGTCTTTTGGAGGATCTCCAAAATCTCAAAATCTCAAATCCAATTTTGAGTTCTAAAGCAATCAATCAACATGAATTCATCGGGTACGCTTTCGCTCTTCGATTTGATTTTCGATTGTTCAATGTGAATACTCCTGGGATTAAACGATTTATTTCGAATAAAGTTAATTCCAATTCTATCCCACACAATTCACATCTAGCATGTCATTTAGTCCAATTCAATATGGTGAAATTCACCTAAATTTGGAGAATGCCCCTGTTTGAGCTACTTAGAAATGAGCCCTACAATATTTATTTATTTTTTTTTTATTTTTTATTTTATTTTATTTTTTTTGTTAGGCATTTGTTTTCACGGGTTTGGATTGTTACATTTGTTTATTTTCTTAAACTTACTGTAAGAGATATGAGATTTAGGTTACTGTAAATAAATAATGATACGAATTTGGCATGCTTTTGGCCGAGAAATTCTTTCATTAATGTCTGGCATATAATTAGTCTTTATTTATTAGTAAGTTTGGTAATTATTTTTTTGGTGAATTATTTGGTAATTAGTCTTTATTTTGGGCGGGTATAAATTAGTTAATTTACTAATTTTTATTTGGAAATGTATAATTAACATTTTAGTTTATTAACAAGGTGCATAGTTTTTTAGTGGAGATTATTTTTATTATTTTATAATGTTTTTTCGTCAATACATATTACTATCTTTACAAACTTATTTTTTGATGTAATTATACTTATTTAAACGGTAGGTTCGTATAATATAGAGTTGACGATATATATTGTCATATGAAAAATGCTACATGTACATAATAAATGTGCATAGAGATGTACACACTCACATAGAGTGGGGTCCACTTGATTTTTTATTTTTTGTGGGTCCCATTTGAATATTATGTACACTCCCCTATGTGCAATCTTATGTACATATAGCATTTCTCTTGTCATATTCATATTAATATTTTAAATCATTCATTAATTTACAGGCAAACCTTTTAGGTTAAATATTTGATTCGTAAAATTTTAAAATGATTCTAGCAAAATTATTCTATGATTTTTTTATTTTATTTTTTGTCGTATTTTAAGTGCTTTTAATCAGTGACATTTTCAATAAAACAATATGGCTATATATAACTATGAAATAATAATCAAAAAAGTAAAGAAAAATCTTCTCTATAATTAAATTGAAGAAAGTATTTTGATGTTGTACAACTAACCACCATTAAATTAATGGTATCGAAAAATTTACACAATAGATTACTATTTTAACAGTTTTGTAAACTGTTTTTTTATTCCCATATTGAACTTAGAACTTATGTCCAATTCACAGATTATTATTCTAAATATTAAAGAATAAATCACAAAATATAAAGCATACAAATATATTCCAATAACAAATTATTTTGTAAAATATAATTATGACTAAATTATGCATATAATAATATATATACTATTTAATANTGACCGGTCAAAATGGTTGCTCCTGACACTTAAAATTATTTTGATCATTCCTTTGTACTTTTTGTAGATGAAGCTTTAAACCATAAAATAAATTATTATATTCGAAGAGTTGGAAGCCCAATTAAATTCACATCATCGCCCAAACTGCGGTGTTTTTACTTAAAAAAAAATAAGAAAAAATAAAGTGGACATGAACAAAACAAAAAAAAAAAATTGTGGAAATAAATAAAAAGCACGTATTCTGAGAATACGTTTTTTTTGTAATTTTTATTGACAAACGTATTTGCATAATACGTTCTCCTGTGGAGACTTCCCATCCAAGATTTTTCATTGAAACACGTATTCTGAGAATACGTTTTTCAATGACAATTTGTAAGGAAAGCGTATTCTCATAATACTGGTTTTTTATTTTGGTCCAAATTTTTTTTTTTTTTGCTTTTATTTGTGTCCACTTGTTTTTTTTTTATTTTTTATATATAAATTTCCCCCAAAACTGCCCCACCTTGTCACTTACCATCTATGTACATACATTCTCTTTTTAAACTTCCCATCCAAGTATTATTGCAACTGTTTTGTTCATGTAATCTTAAAACACTACATTTCAATTTTATTTTGAATTCAAATCGATCAACTTTATCAAACCCAAGTTGAAAGACAGTTCCATCTACTGTGGAGACTTTTCTCTCTCATAGGGATTTCACAGTTCCACCCCTGTGGATTTACCTTTCTTCATCCATTTTCGTCTTGTTTTTCTTCTTCAGTCTATCATATCCGCTTGTATCTTTCATAAATCATCTCTTGTCTTGCTATAGAGTGAGCGTCCGAGTGTCGTACTCCTGGGGTGGGGTAGGGTTTCTTGTGTGGTGCAATATTAGGGTTTGTGGCAGAGCTTGCTTTAATCGATCGGAGTCCGAAGGTTTGCACAGATCTGATTCAATTGAAGTTCATTATGGAGCAGGAAGTCCTAGAAAAGCTACATAAACTCCAACTGTCGGACAAAGAGAAAATGGGGGTTACGTTCGAGCAGCAAGATGTGGAACAAGAGATCCAAGAATGCGAACTAAGCCTAATCAGAAAAATAGTTGGGGAGAAAAAAGTAAACCTGGTAGGCTTTCGGTCAACATTAGGAAGCATCTGGAGAACAAAATGCTCCTTTTCAGTTAGAGTGATCGGAGTTAACCTCTTTCAATTCTTATTTCAAGATAGGGACGATATGCAAAAGGTCTTGAAGGGGAAACAATGGTTGTTTGATGGACAGTACTTGCTGCTGAAGGAATGGGTAAAGGACAAGGTGAATTTCAGCAAGGAGGAATTGAAAGTTTCGTTATGGGTTCAAATCCACAATTTGCCGTTGCATTGGATTTCAGCTAAAGCAGGAATGAAAGTGGGAAGAATATTCGAGAAAGTGCTTGATGTAGTGGCTCCGGTGGTGGGAAATGTCAATGTGAGAATTGTTAGGATTTTGGTGGAAGTGTCAGTAACAGAACCATTACCAAGGGGGACTATTATCAAGTTGGATGCTGAGGAAAGGTGGATCGATTTTAAGTATGAAAGTTTACTTACTTTCTGTTTTTACTGTGGAACTATTGGTCACAATGATAGAGCATGTGACACCAAAAGGATAGATATTCAAAGAAATATGCTCAAAACAGGACAATATGAGGATTGGTTAAGGGGATCATTTGGGGGATTGGGGGGAGTATAAAGATAAATTATCTTCAACCCCGGGTAGTGATAAACCAGTGTTTGTTGCTAGTATTGAGAAAGAGGAGAGTTGGGGGGTAGGTATTGTTAGGAGTTCTCAAAAGTTGAATGTAGCTTTGTCTAAGGATCACAGTAATCCTTCAGATAAACCGAGTAGTAGTGTGAGAGGCTGTAGCCCAGTAACCAAGGCAATTGTTGCTGACAACAATGATGGTCAGCTGAGTTGCCATGGGAAAAAGACTGAGCTTGCAGTTTTGATCCCCATGGAGCTGGACTCCAACTGTGAGGAAAAGGGAGATGAGTCAAACTTGGTTGATATTCCTGTAGGTGATCCTCTTATTCAAGAATCAGTCATTGGTAGGAAAAAGAAGTCTTTTGTGAGAGTTACTAGAAAGGTGGAGGCAGATTCTAAACTTAATTTGAGTACTGGAAAACTAGGCTTAAATTTGGACAATAAGGAAGGTTGTGAAAAAGAAAACCTCCTGAGAACCCTTTTGAGGGAAATCAGGTTGTACACATTGATTTAAAAAAACAAAAAACAAATGTGATTGCACTTGAAAAAATGGTGAAGAAGACCAGCCAGAAATGGTCCCCCAAGTCCAAATGAGAGCTATGATGTGGAATTGTAGAGGTCTGAGAGGACCCTCTACAATTCTCCAGTTGAAGGCTAAGATTAGAGCCTACCTTCCAGACTTTATATTCCTATCTGAAGTTAAAATGAAGAAAACTTTTGTCAGTACAGTTTGTAAAAATTTAAATGTTGAAGATAAATGGGAGTTTGTGAACCCTGTAGGTAATAAAGGGGGTCTTCTTTTGTGTTGGCCAAAAAATATTTCCATTATTAAAATTTTGTCATCAGACTTTTGTTTTGAAGTTTGTTTTTGTTATGAAGGGGTAGTGATATTTTGTGGGCTGTTTTTGTGTATAATAGTAATGATATGACTGAGAGGCATGCTCAGTGGTCTCAATTGTACAGTTCTAGTGTTAAATGGGGTAAGGTTTGGTTTTTAGTTGGAGATTTTAATGATATCTTATGTAATGAGGATAAGCAGGGAGGAGTCCTTAGAGGGGAGTCTAGTTTTGCTATCTTTAGGAATTTTGTGGCTAATTTAGGAGTAGTAGAATGTCAATTTAGGGGTCATCCATACACTTGGTCTAATAATAGGAAAGGAGGGGATTTTATTGAAGAAAAGTTGGATAGAGTTTTCCTTTCCCCTGAATGGCTCTTCAAATACCCAAATTCTACTGTTTTGCATATTTCTTTAATATCTTCTGATCACAGCATGCTACTATTGGAGACAAAGAATAAAAATGGAGAAGGTAAGAAAAGATTCATGTTTGATGGAAGGTGGATTAAAATGGAAGGGTATGATAAATGTGTAAAGAAAGTGTGGGAAAAAGCTGTGAGGGGACCTGCATTGTATTGTTTTCAGCAGAGGTTGAGGAGGGTGAAATCAGGTCTGTTGAAGTGGTCCAAAAATCAGAACTCAAATTCAACTGTTAGGATTCAAGAATATTATGCAAAATTGGAGTCTCTGGGGGTGCAAGGGGGTGATAGGGATTGGGATGAATGGTTGCGATGTAAAAAGAAACTGCATCAGGCATACAGGGATGAGGAAAGCTATTGGAAACAGAAAGCTAGAATTAGATGGTTGAAGGAGGGGGATAAAAACACCAGATTCTTCCAAGCTTGTGTCAAACAAAGAAGATTTACAAACAGCTTGGAGAACTTGGTCAAATCAAATGGGGAAAAATGCAGCAGTAAAGAAGAAATTATAGAAGAGGTGGCTACATTTTTTGAAAATTTGTTTACAACAGAAGCTGGGGAGGAAAATGTGGAAATTTTAAAAGGCATATCTCAGACAATAACATAAGAATTGAATCAGAAACTGTGCAAACCGGTGGATGAAGGTGAGATTAAGCAAGCATTATTTGACATGGATCCTGATAAAGCACCAAGTTCGGATGGATTCTCACCTTCTTTCTTTCAATCCTCTTGGCCACTTATTAAACATGATTTGTGTCTTGCAGTGTCCAATTTTTTTTCTTCTGGTAGGATTCCTAAGGACACTAAGCATATTGTTATCTCATTAATACCCAAAATGAAAAATCCTATAAAAGTAGTAGATTTTAGACCTATCAGTTTGTGTTCTGTTACTTATAGGATTATTGCTAAAGTGTTAGCTAATAGGATTAAGCCTGTCTTGAAATTTTGCATATCCCAGTTTCAATCAGCTTTTGTTCCAGATAGACAAATCCTTGATAATGTCATTGTAGCCAATGAGTGTATTCATTTCTTGAATAGTAAGAAAAAAGGTAAAAAATGCTATATGGTCTTAAAATTAGATATGGCAAAAGCTTATGATAGGGTTGAGTGGGGTTTTTTGCTAAATGTATGCAGGGCAATGGGGTTTTGTGAGAAATTTTGCTTCTGGCTTTGGTCTTGTATTAGTGGTAACTCTTTTCCATTTAATCTCAATGGTCAGCTTGTAGGGAATGTAAAGGCATCTAGAGGATTAAGACAAGGGGACCCTTTATCCCCCTATCTGTTTATAATCCTGTCAGAAGCCTTATCAAACCTTATAAAGCAGGTCTGCATTAATCAAAACTTCCAAGGAATAAAAATTAGTAAGCATTCCCCTGCTATATCCCACTTATTTTTTGCTGATGATTCCCTAATCATGTGTCAGGCAGATCTTACTCATGCCAATATGCTTCTTAGTATTTTGAAATCCTATTGTACAGCCTCGAGTCAAGCTATTAATATGACTAAGTCCAGTATCTTTTTTTCCCCAAATTCGTCTTCAGAATTGAAATCTTCTATTTGTAATATTTTTTTCTGGGATTGGAACTGTGAAATCTTCTAAGTACTTGAGTCTCCCTTTAGGAATTGGAAAAACAAAAAAAGAGATTTTTAGTTTTGTTTTAGCAATGTGTTATTTCTAAAATTTCTAGCTGAAAAAATAGATTTTTGAGTGAGGCAGGAAGAGATGTCCTTATTAAATCAGTTCTTAATGCTCTTCCTGTGTATGTAATGTCTGTATTTAAGATTCCTGTGGGGGTGTGTGCAGATATTTGTAGGTTTATTGCTAGTTTCTGGTGGGGGCAGGGTGATAATGGTAAAGATAGGATTCACTGGGCTAATTGGGAGAAACTTGCTAGGCTGAAGAGTGAGGGGGGCATGGGATTCAAACAGTTTGGGGCTTTAAATGATGCTTTAATCCTAAAACAGCTATGGAGGATTTTAACTTGTCCTAATTTGTTGATGAGCAAGATAATTAGAGGCAAGTACTTTTACAAGCAAAATTTAATGACTGTGGAGAAAAAGAATTCTGATTCATGGATGTGGAAGTGTTGGTTAGAAGTTAGGAAGTATTTGAAGGTGGGTCTTAGGTATCAAATTGGAAATGGGCTTGCTGTAAGGATTTGGGATCAACCTTGGGTTCCAAATTCTCCAGGCTTTATTCCAGTTTGTGTATTTGAAGATGATAAAACAAGGTTGCACACAGTATCTGATCTTTCGGTGGCAGGAGGAAAATGCTGGGATGAAGAGCTTGTGAGACAAACCTTTTCTCCATTGGATGCAGAGAATATCTTTAAAATTCATATTAGCCAATGGGGAGTGAGGGATAAACTAATATGGGATGCTGACAAGAAAGGGCAATACACAGTCAAAGGGGCCTACAAATTGATTCTGAATATCAACAAGAAGTTAAAGGCCAGGGATAAGCCAAGTGGAAGCACAGAGCCATATCAGAAAATGTGGAGAAGAACATGGGACTTACCAGTGAAACAGAAGGTTAAAACTTTTATCTGGCGATGTTGGCATGATTTTTTGGGAACAAAAACAAATTTAGTTCACAGAGGAGTGGCAGTTGATGAGATTTGTGTTGTGTGTGGGGTAGAAAAGGAAGATATGGAGCATGTATTTTTCAAATGTGAGAGAGCAGTCAGAGTTTGGAGAATAGCAGGGTTAGAGTGGAAGCAAATGAATTTGCCATTAGTCAAATTCCAGGAATGGTGGAATGACCTCTTTTCAATTCAAAAGGAACAGAATTACAAGGACAGAGTGAGTCTATCCACTTATATATTATGGTGGCTATGGCAAACGCGAAATAATTAGATTTTTAGAGGGGAGCTTCTTGAGGAGAATCAGACAGTACATAAAGCAAAACAAGAATGAATTGAGTTTGAGGAAGTACAACAAATGAACAGAACAGCTGGTAAAAATGAAATAACTTCAGATGGGAGCACAGGAGTAGGGCATCCAAATTCTGATGTCAGTGCTATCTGCTCACACATTGAAGACACCATTCTGTTAGGCAAGGCTTTTAAAAATGAGGAGGAGATTGATATATGGCAGATACCTAAAGAGCAGAACAAGATCAAAGAGGAAAGACTATTGTTGTTGGTGAGAGAATGATTGGGGAAAGGGGTTGCTTCTGGATGGGATAAAATAGTGCTGAGATTTAATGAAATGGTGTTATTACAGTTTCTCACTTTGATTTTAGTTTTCTATTATTGATTGTTATTCCAACAATAGACTTGCTAAAAGTATGAGTTGTCGGAAATGGTGTTATTAAATTTAAATAAGAGAAATAATAATTCTAAACTATTACGTTGTTGATGATTTGTAAAGTTACTAAATAATATATAGAGCTAGTTTGGGAGTTTGGGATCATTCCCCAAATCACTTTTCATTTCAGACATTACTACTTCTCACTTGTATTAAAATATCCTCATTCTTTCTATTCCAAAATTGCCTCCAAATTCATTTTACTTCATGATTCGTAGTACTACCATTGTAATTAATGTTGTACTGCTTTTATAAGTTAACTAGTGCCTATTTTATAAAGAAACAATACATAGTATCTAAGTACCTTAGTTCATTCAATCAAATCTATTCAACTTCTGTTTCAGCTTAAAAATATTGGAGGCAGAGTTGCTTGAGTCCTTGTTTTTCCAACCTAGCATGGCCACCCTAACTTTTCTAATCCTACTCCGAACACTAAACAAGGGATATCTAGTTACCGGTAAATTACAATCTTTATCTACAACATCCTTATAACCCTCAGCCTTGGTCCATCTAGCATCAAAACAAAATCTTTTAGCCACATGAGTAAAAAAAAAATCCAAAACAAGCAAACTGTGGCCAGAGGATATAGTACTAATGTGCTTAACCAAGGAGTCTGGGTACTTGATACTAAGGTCAGCAGAATACATGAACCTATCAAGTTTTTCTTCAATAAAAGCATTGCACTGCCTATTGTTAGACCCAGTGAAGGGATGCCCACTAGTTTTGCGTTCAACTATGTTGAAAGAAGAGATAAAGTCTCTAAACCCTTTAAAACTGATGGCATGATTGGTATGATGGAATGCAATTTCATAGGAATGGAATGAGTTGAAGAATGGAATGATTATAGGAATGGAATGAAACATGTTTTGTCATTTATGCGTTTGGTATGCAGAAGGAATAAGACTGGAATGAGATTACATTATCATTTTTTATTATTAAAATAAATAAAAGCTTTTTTTAAAATAATATACTTTTAATAAATTATATATAAATGCTCTTTTAATAATATATAAAAATAAAATAATATATTTTTAAATTATATATAAATGCTTTTTTTAGTTTTATTTTTATATAAGTATTTAATATACTAATTAAAAAATAAATAAAAGTAAGTTTTCAATTTTTTTATTTGAATATATATAAATTAATTATATTTAATATATTTTAATCAAGATTTATAATATATAATATATATTTATTTATTATTATTATTTGTTAATTTTATTTTTTGAAAAATTGATTCCTACACACATGGGAATGAGAAAACCTTCCATTTAATATGGAATGGCTAATCCCATGGAGATGGATTTTGCTATTCCATTGGAATGGTCATTCCTTCCCAAAAAATATACCAATCATGGGATAAGGAATGAGTAAAAGAATGATCATTCCATTCCCATCAGTGTTTTAAATCGTGCATCGCGCAATGCGTCGCGTTTTGGTCCTTATATTGCGTAGCGTAAATAGCGTAGCGCATTGCGTAAGCTATTTGAGCAATTCTTTTTTAATGCTAAAAATAATAATATATAACCATACAAGCGAATAAATAGTTAAAATGGTCTTAAACCATAAACTTGGACATTGAATCCAAAAAATAACATTCAAATATTAATTCTTCAAACAACCAATATCTTAATGTTTAAAATATGCGTAAGCTATTCGAACAATTCTTTTTTAATGTTAAAAATAATAATATATAACCATACAAGCGAATAAATAGTTAAAATGGTCTTAAACCATAAACTTGGACATTGAATCTAAAAAATAACATTCAAATATTAATTCTTCAAACAACCAATGTCTTAATGTTTAAAATAAAGACTCAAAATCTTAAAATGATCGGTGTTATCCAATTGAATTTGGCTATCATCGTCAATTCTATCAAAGTTACGGATATTTTCACTATAAGAAATTATTAGTACAATTTCATCAAATTCTTGCATCTCCTCATCATTTGGAGGAAAAAATGAAGTGTTCTTCTCATTTCACTTTTGAGTTTAAGAAACATAAACATTTCATGATTCTAATAGTCCAAAAGATCAATCTTAGATATGTTGATATCAATTTTTCAAATTTTTTTTTTTTCAAGAGAAATACGAAACATGATTTAATAATCACTCAAATTCGCCATGGGAGAAATTACTCAATTTTGTGCCCTACATTTTTTTTTTGTATTTTATTATTTTATTTTTTATTTTTTGCCTATAAATAAGGATTACCCAAATAGCGTGAGAAATAGCGTAAATAGCGCAAAATATAGCGTAAATTGCGTAAATAGCGCAAAATATAGCACAAATTGCGTACGCTTTTCTGGAACTGCGCGAAATTATATAAGCTATGTCGCGTTTTTGGGTAAAAATGCGCTATAGCGCGCGAAATTGTGCTATTTAAAACACTGATTCCCATGACATTCCTTCCTACCAATCATGCCATGAGTTCTTCTCTCACTAAACCCCATTTTTCTCCTGGTTATTTGAAATATCATTAAAGTCACCCCCTATGAATCATTCCCTACCCCAAAGTAAGCAATTCTGATAAGAAAATTCTACTAACTCATTCTTTCAATAGGGTTGGTGCTAGCATAGACAAATATTTTCCAGAAAGACTCCCCAGTACATCTAATCCTACATTGAACTTCAATGGAAAAGTCAAAATAATTCACTCAAGGATTTCTAAGTTAATAGACTAGAACAGAAGCGACCCTCCTCTAGACTGCACATGATTAACATAAACCCTTCTATCATCTAGCCTACACTTTTTACAAACTGATTCTACTAATTTTTTTTTTCTTTTTTCAAAAAGAAAAACCAAGTCTAAGGGGATGAGCCTGAGGGCTTCCTTGAACATGGAAATTGTAGAAAGTCCTCCCAAACCTCTACAGTTTCACACATATACATTCACTTATACATTTGGGACCAATTAGGGTTGGTCTCCTCCATCTAAGATTATGATTTTCTACCCCCAATATTTTTTTATTTTTTTATTGTTTATTTAGAAGGTTGTTACTTTGTTTCCCTAACTGGTTATCTTCTTCTAACCTTCTTTTATTCTGCCCTTTTTTAACTCCAAGCTCACTTTGCTATCAACCGACCTATCTACCAACATTCATTTTGGATGCTCTACTATGTTGGGTCTAGGTTGTCCAATAAAGGTCTTTTTTTCCTTTAGAAAATTCGACCCCCAATTGAGGCTGGTTGGACATCTATCTCAATAAGATCAACGTGTTCCTGCTCTTTCTCCTCTATCCTAGATATTATTAAGTTAGAGCTTCCCCCAACTTTTTTTTGATTCCTCTGGGTTACTTTTCAAATTTGCAGTGAGTTTAATAGCATTTTCTAATCCTGGATTTATCCCTAAATGCCTAATGACTTCTAATTCACTATTTTTCTCTTTATCTCCTGATTTATTAGTGTCAACTCTTGAGAATTTGATAGATTCTTTAAATTCAGAGTTAAATCTTGAACTGCTTGACCTAAAGCTTCTAGACTCTGAGTACCTAAGACTGCTAGTCTTTAATCAATCCCGATATCGACAAAGTGTAAGGACATTCTTATCAATATCATCTTTCTTTGATGAGCAATTTTTGTCAGAATGACCAACTAAACCATACTAGTGGTAGAATTTTGGAGATTTCCATACCTGATATATACCCATTTGTTTTCATAACCCATTTTGATGTTTAGATATCTAAAGAGAGGCTCCTTCAATTGCATATCTATTAGAATCCTCAGCACTTGACCATTGGAGTTCCCAGCCCCAGGAATTAGGATATCCTGCAGTTTTTCAATGAGTTCACATATCTTCAATCCGGTTTAGTTACCATCCAATGAAGGGGTAGATTGATGTTTTGAATCCAAACCCTTATTTTCTCCTCCTCTTCAGTGAATTCAGCTGACTCCAGGTTCCAATGATTTAAGATGAGGTACTGGTCGTCGAATGTCCAAGTCTTGGCCTTGAGAATCTTGCCTCTAACATCTTCCATCTGAAATAGAAACTGAAACAAGTTCTAGCCTATATTTCTTATGGAGAACGGCTGTCGTGTTTGCCAAATACTTCCCAAAGTCGCGCCTTCATCCCGCCAAAATTTACATTTTTATCACCATAGATTTTCCTATTAAACTTTTCTTGCATTCCTGAAGTCATGTCGCAATTTCTTGCTCTAATAGTTCTATAACTCGTTCTTCCTTTTTCTGAAAGGGCAAACTTCTGTAACATCTGCGCAATTTCTTGCTCCATTTGTGAAAGCCCTAAAATAGAAGACAATTAATCCTAAAGCACCTAGTTCAGAAGCCCTAAAAGGGGAAAGGAGCAAAAATAATCCCGAACCCACACTTATAAATTAAGCCCTAGATAAATGCACAAGGAAGAACGACGGAAAGACAAATATTGAAATTCCAAGCTTCAGATACTCAACATACTCACAAAGCAAAAACAGGAGAACCCTAGGAACGCAAGAAGCTAGCTACCAACGAACGGCCAACAACCTTAGAAACAACCACACAACACATGAGGGCAGGAGAAAGGAAAGGCTCGAACAAATCCAATGAATGGAACTAGGGTGTGTCAGAAGAGAAAAAAATCTCACAAGGAGAACTCGGATTGATATGTTTCCAATGCAATGGTGCTATAAAGTCTATTTGATTTTTTCATGAAAGCTCCATTAACTTGCAACGATTTTGGGACCAAATTGCAATAAAAATTATTAAAGGATTGATTTTTTACATTTTGAGACTAAGGATTGTTTGGATAACGGCGTTTTCAGTCCGTCTTTTGCGTTTTGACCAATTTTGACAATTTGATTAGTTATAAAAAGATGGTTGGTAAAATAGCTTATGAGTGTAGCATTTTTATCCAAACGCCAAATTTGAATATACTGCTCCTCTATCATGTAAAACTTGTTGTACATAATTTTTTTAAAAATGGCAATGTGCCTAAAGGTCTTAATCATGTTGTTATAACTCTAATCCCTAAGAAGAAAAATCCTAATAGAGTTATTGAATGTAGACCTATTAGTTTATGCAATAATATATAAGTTGATTGCTAAAATCATAGGTAATAGGTTGAAAATGGTGTTGTCTAGTTGTATTTCTAGTGCTCAATCAGCATTTGTACCTGGTAGGCAAATTTTAGATAATGTAATTATAGCTAATGAATGTGTACATTATTTGAATAGTAAAAGGAAAGGAAAACAGCAGTTCATGGTCATTAAGCTTGATATGGCCAAGGCCTATGATAGAGTAGAATGGGCTTTTCTTGCCAAAATATGCAGAAAATTGGGATTTAGTGAAACTTTCATATCTTGGATTCTAGCTTGTGTGTGCACTGTATCTTATTCCTTTAATTTAAATGGTTCTAATATGGGTTTTTTGCAACCCACTAGGGGTTTGAGACAAGGGGATCCACTCTCCCCTTATCTGTTTATACTTGTTTCAGAAGCTCTTTCTCATCTCATTAATAAAGCCTGTCATTCTGGTCAGTATCAGGGCATTAAAATAGGTAAACATACCCCTCCTGTGAGTCATTTATTCTTTGCTGATGACTCAATTTTGTTTTGCAAAGCAGATGTTAAACATGCTCTTCTTATTAATGATATTCTGAATCAGTATGGTCTTGAGTCTGGTCAAATTGTCAATTTTGAGAAATCCTCAATATTGTTTTCTAAAAATACTTTTGAAAGAAACCAGTCTCAAATCTGTAGAATGCTTTCTGGAATTACCAGAGTCAAATCATCTAGATATTTGGGATTACCTTTAGGCATAGGAAGATCAAAAAAAGAGACATTTCAGTTTGTTAGTGATTGTGTAAAAAATAAGATTATGAGTTGGAAAAATAGATTTTTGAGTGAATCTGGGAGAGAAATATTGATCAAATCAGTGTTGAGTGCTTTACCCACTTATGTTATGTCATGTTTTAGAATTCCAATCACCATCATCAATTAAATTTGTAGAGATATAGCTAATTTCTGGTGGGGGAAAAGTGAGCAGAAGGGAAATAGGATACATTGGACTGAGTGGGATAATTTAAAAGATGATAACGCAGAAGGAGGGTTAGGTTTCAGAGATTTAAGGGTATTTAATTAATCCTTGCTGGTTAAGCAATTATGGAGACTTCAAACATCTCCTAATTTGTTTGTGAGCAGGGTTTTAAAGGGGAAGTATTTTTGGAATAGTAATTTGCTAGAAGTCAAAGCTAAGAATACTGATTCTTGGCTATGGAAAACTTGGATGAGTGCTAGGAGTTCATTTAAATTGGAGCAAGATATGAAGTGGGTGATGGTAAGTCTATACATGTTTGGGATTCTTCTTGGATCCCAAATAATTCTTCTTTTAAACCAAAGTGTTATTTCTGGGGGGATAAAGAAAGGATAGTTAGAGTGAGTGAGTTGATTAAATCTGGAAATAGAGAATGGGATCAGGAGGCTATTTTACAGACATTTAATCCTGTGGATGCTGCTCTGATTCTCACAATCCCTTTGAAAAGCACTCCTCAACCAGATAAACTAATTTGGCATTAGGGCAAGAAGGGGGTATTTTCTACTAAAGCAGTGTACAATACTCTTCTTAGAGTGCAAAGGAATCGCAAGGATACTCCTTCAACTAGTGGGAATCCTGCATGGTGGAAAAAAATGTGGAAATCAACTTGAAAATTACAACTTAAACCAAAACTTATATTTTTTATTTGGAAAAGTTGGTATGGATTTCTTGGGGTAGCTGATAAGTTGGTGAGAAGGGGATTTGAAATTGATCCCATTTGTAAAAGTTGTGGGGAGAGAAGGGAGACTTTAAATCATTTGTTCTTTCAATGTCCAAAATCTCAGGCTTGTTGGAAATTGAGTGGGATAGACTGGGATATATTGAAGCAACAGTCAGTGGATTCTCAAAGTTGGTGGATGAGCCTGTGTTCTCATGGTATGTCTGCTACTCTACAGGCTAGAATTACCTTATTTGTCTACTTGTTGTGGAATTTGTGGAAGGGCAGAAATAAATGGGTGTTTAAAGGAGATTGGTTTAATGAGATGTACATTGTGAGGAAAACATATTCAGAATGGAAGGAGTGGGATAATCAAGGGTTTAAGATAGGAAGTGCACCTAAATTGGATGAAGTATATCAGAGAGTAGGATGGTCTTGGATGGTTATCAGTACTCATTCATCTGATGCAGGTGACATTGCAGTGGAATGTATTGCTATTGATGTTGCAGCAAATAAGCTTCAATGGACAGAGACTATAGCTGGCACAAATGATTCAATTACAGATGTAGAGGCAAGTTTACTGGCTGCTAGATGGTGTTTGAGGAAGTTTTCTGAGCTTCAGTGGACATCTGTTACTTGCTTTCTTCATAATGCAGCAACAGTTAAAATGCTGAATAAATCTATGGCCATTCATCACTCCTGCTTGCAGCTAGTGGGGGAAGTGTTAGAGTTATTTGATTCATGTAAAATAGTATCATGTTCTGTATTTTAAGTTGACATATTTTCTGTTGTTGTTGTGTTTGTTTGTCTATTGGCAGTTGTTTTTGAGACCATGTTGATCTTTGAGGGGAAGGATTCTCTTTTCTCGTGGCTTGGAGAATATCCTTGTTAGGGTATACTGAGTCTGTAGTCATTTGATTACTCGATGTATATGTACATTTCTTTGAGTAATATAAAATTGTTGTTTGCCTTTGAAAAAAAAAAAAAAAAATCCTTCATTCAGACTCATTTACAAAAAGCAATATGGAACTCATAAAAATCTAACTTGCTCTTATTTGCGAATTTAGACAAGTTTGAGTTTCATCTCCCTTCAATCTTTTTT